GTACACGAAATTTTATATCATGAAAAATCTTGAACTCTATGCATRTCAGTAACTCACTACAGCAATAAGAAATGCTGCTTTAAGGTTCCCACAGGCTTCACAACAAGCATTACTCAAAAGGAAAGGAAACCATCTGCACAAAGATGAATCATAGAAAAAAAAAATCACAAAAAAAAGATTCAAAATATGAACTAATCTCAGAAAACTGAGGTTAAATAAATAGTACAAATTAGATGTACATGTATGAAAACATTTAGTGAGTCCAGTGTTTTCGAGGAGCAAGACGCACCTCAAGGCGACAAGCCCTTTGATCGCCTTGAGGCGAGAGGCGATAAAAAGGTGACGCCCGACTGAAGCAAGGCGCACTTAATAAAATAATAAATAAATATTATCTATAGTAATTTTAGTAAAAAATAAAATACTCTAGATGCAAATATTTGTACAACTATTTAATATGCAAATAAAGTTTAACTTAAATAATTAAGAAAAATTAAAAATTTAAGTTCAAATAATTAAGAAAAATTAAAATATAAATTCTAAAAAAAAATTAGTAAACAGTGGTTAAATAGAAAGATATAAAAACATTTGTATTTAAATTAAACCATGCATTAAAGTAGGGAGTGCTTATTGCCATTGGGAAGTGTTGCCACCGGATGGCAATTTTATTGCAGGTGAGTATATTCTAGCACTAGCACTTGTTTAGTGGGGCTTGGAAATATAAAAAAAGAAAAGGAGAGAAGAACTGAAGCGACAGGATTATCAATTTTCAGGTTTTTCAAATTTCTCTTTGATTTTTCTTCCATTATTCTTCAACTTCTTCCTTGATTCTTCTTTTTTTTCCAACTCTTCTTCTTCTTCGTCTTCGATTGTTCTATTGTTTGGTTCTTTTCTTTCTTAAATTTTGATTTGTTTAGTTCTTTTCTCAATTAAAGAATTGATGAAGAAGAATTGAATAATTGAAGAAGAATTGAAGCAAACATAGGAATAATGGAAGAGAAAAATCGAAAAACTTATAACACAAGGACGAAAGTGGTGGCCACAGCGAAGGAAAAAGCCTTTCGGGTGTGCGTATTTTGATTTTTGGCTGTGATATCCGAATTTTCAGGTCTGCTTTTCGTGGGTTTTTAACATAAAAAGAAAAAAAAAACAAAGTAGCGTGAAACGCCTCGCTTCAACGAGGCGCAGGGAGGCGCACCAAGGTGAGCGCCCGGTTGAAGGCACTCACCTTGGCACCGTTTAAGGCGCCCCCAGGCGAAATCGCGCCTCGCCTCTCACCTGAGGAGCTCGCCTGGGTGCGCCTTGAAAACACTGAGTGAGTCTAAACTCTGATTCAAAGTATTACTTGTGCCAGTTTCCACTAGCTCCTGCTGAAAAACCTAGGATATTACCAACAGCCATCCATGAACAAAA